AAACATGTAAAAGAAGCACAAAAATTACGTCTCTATTTATTCTTAAACTATCTTATAATAAGTAAACTTTTCAAGATTGGCAAAACATGCATGCCTTTCACATTGCCATATATCCCAACCCCCTCATTGCCATATGTTGTCACTGAAACTGCAAACAAGCCCCACAAACAAATATTAAACTTTGTTGGTAAACTATTTCGTTGGCTACGTCTCCTTATCATTGGCTCCTGACCTGTTCGACAAAATGCTCCAAAGAAAACAATGCAGATAACCAAGCCGGCTGCATTACGACTTTGGGTGTCACCATTCATTTTATAATTGTCCACAACTGCAGGGATCTATATACGTCATGTTAATTTCACGCACTTCCTTAAATTACTTCTTCTAAATGCTTAAGTCGTATCGAAAACATCTTGCATAATTTTCATAAATGGGGTCTTTGAATTTTCGAGCTCTACTTCTCCTTTTTTGGTATTATCTAAGGTTTTAAGGTGTTAGAGAGAAACAAAGTTGTTTTTCTATGTTATGTCTCTAATACACTCGTTTACTTTTTTGGATTGTGCATAAAAGTTCCTTTATCATTTTATAATGATCATAGGCATAATTTTCTCCAAAATTGTATGATAGGATCTTCATCAAGAAAGTCAATGTGTATTTTTACTTATACAGAGTTGCATCATGCTTGAATTATTATATCCAGTTGACTTATTTTTTGTACTTAAAACTTAAATGGACGCTGCTTTCTACTTATGATGTTGGAATCTTGACATTCTACCTGATACTGTAGAATATTGTACTTATAATTAAAATATAATCTTGGTTCTTCATGACATTTTATTAAATTGCTGTTATGTAGGATGTAGAGACATATTTATTATTGATGGTGCAAATTACTAAAACTTTTTGGGACTAGGATTCTAGACTTTGCGAAGCAAGGAACAAGAAAGTTAGTAGGATAAGTTTTTATCTCTAGCGATTTTGGATTTCTTCCTTGGACATGTAATAGAGTAATTTATTAGTAAATGAAATAGATAAATATTCTCCATGATGTTTTTATGTCACACGTTGCACCTTTATGAGGAACTATGATGCCTGCCAATCTTTATATTTTGTTGTTTAGTGTGTATTTGTCATAGAGAATCTACCATTTGGAGCATGAGATGTTGTGAATTTGTCTTGTTCAATTTAATTGATATTTCCAATGACTCTTCTTTGTTTCCAACTTCCAATCAAGGATGATGCAGAAAACTAAATTAGCTAGAAAACTCTTGGTAGGTCCATAGCATTCTTTTCGGACAATATAATTAATGAAAATTTGGTTAGTCTCTCTAACTATAAGAGCTTCTGTCTATTTCAATTGCTGTATTAACGAAAAACTATGGATTCAATGACTACTTCTGCGTTCCGCTATCAATGGATGTTACTTTTGTTAATCGCTCTGAGCAGAATTTCAGGCATCTCTTGCCTCCCTAATTCTGAATTTGGAAATATACTTGCTTCCTAATTCCCTTTATCGTTTTTCTTACCTGATCTTTTCTGGTTGCAGATTGCTATGATCCTTTGGATCCAAATGGAAATATTACTGTTACCTTTGACATAAAGAAGTATGCAATTGATGGCTATGTGGTTAGTCCTGTAATTGACCACTATATATTTCTGCTTTAGGTTCAGATTTGTTTCTTGTCAGAAGTTCTACATTTGTCGAAGAGACTAATTCTTGTCTTTCAGATTTATTAACTCTTAAATATTTAATTTGTTATATGATTAACTAGTTGCTTAATTCCAAGTTGCCTTATTTACTTATGTCATGGTTTTCCATGATAGAAGAAATGTTTCATATATATAGTGTGAGTTGGCGACCCGATCGAGCTGTTTTAGCTTTGTGCAGTCATATAGCAAATACGAGTTCTTCTGTGCTTTGCTGATGATGGAAATAATATATAACTTTGACATGGAAGTACTATTTTTTGTTGGTCAAATTTGACAAACGTTGATGGCATGTTTGGTGGGAAAGACCTACTATGACTCGATAATACTATGAAGAGAAAGAAGTTTGTTCATTAAAAGTTTAGTCATGTATGTATCAAACATGTACGATGGGTTTACTGTGATTAAGTAAACAACTTTCCAAGTTCTAAATACTGCTCTTGCCAATTCATTATTGTCTTAAACTGCACTTGACATGTTAGATTTTGATAACTCATTCACCTGTAATTGTGACCTGTCAGTTAATCAGACTGCTTCTTGTAGGCAAGAGTAACGATCCAAAACTACCACCAGTATCGTCATGTAGAGAACCCAGGTTGGAAACTAGGATGGACATGGGTGAAGAACGAGGTCATTTGGTCAATGTCTGGTGCTTTTGCCGTCCAACAAGGAAACTGTTCGTCGTTCAAATTCCAGGTACCACATTCATGCAAGAAAGATCCTTTGATAGTTGATCTGATGCCTGATGCACTGCCCCAAAAAAGGACCGATGGTTGCTGCAACGGCGGCATCCTTGCTGCATGGGCTATTAACCCTTCGATGTCATATTCATCCTTTGAGGTTACTGTTGGCAATTTGGAGCAGAATACTACTGGGTACAAGCCTAAGAATCTTACTCTGGTGGCTCCTGGACCTGGTTATACTTGCAGCCAAGTAATGGACATAGATCCCACAGTTTCTTCAGTGATTGGGGGCAGAAGACAAGAGCAAGTTTTCAGTAAGTACTTTATCATTGAGTTCAACTTGTGTTTTGTTAGATGGATTAAACAGCACTGGACATCATTGAGGAAAAAAAAAAAGAATTCTAATTCACTGTACTGTCTAGCACGATCTAGTACTGCTTACAAAAATGCAATTGTAGAATACTAGGTTCTTAGTCCTAACTAAAGATTCATGATGTTCAGGAACATGGAGATCAACATGCACATACTCCAGTTTTTTGGCTAAAAAAACACCAGTTTGTTGTGTGTCACTCTCAACGTTTTACAACCCTACAATCACATCGTGCCCTTCATGCAGCTGTGGCTGTAGAGTTGCTGATGAGCTGACAACATCATGTGTTAGGTTTGTTACTTTCTCCAAATTGCTCTTCAGCATACTATATGCACAAGTCTAATTTTTTGTGTACATTATTTATCTATGTTGAATAGACAAGGTTCGTTCCCATCAAATTTGCTTGACACTGAGTTAGTTCAATGCACCAATCATATGTGCCCACTTCGTGTTCACTGGCATATTAAGAAAAATTACGTGGATCATTGGAGAGCAAAACTGACAATCTCTAATTACAACTACGGGAAAAATTACTCAGATTGGAACGTTTTGGTTCAACATCCCGGATTTAGCCAGGCTGCCACTACTTATAGCTTCAACAGTAAGGTGCTTCCAACTTCAGGTACATCTCTGCAAAATTTTACTTAAGGGTGCCTCGACGTATATTAAGATTCTATACTAATTATATTATCATACTTTATGCAGAAGAAGTTGCCCTCTTCTGGGGGATTTTTTCGTACAACTCTGAACTCGTGCAAGCCGGTGAGAACCAACTGGGATCAGTGAGTACAGAGATACTTTTGGAAAAAGATTCAAAATCATTTACACTGAGAAATGGATGGGCTTTTCCTAGAAAAATATATTTCAATGGTGAGATTTGTCAAATGCCACTTCCAGATAACTTCCCAATGCTACCAAATTGTAGCCCCGGCACAAAGCCTTCTCGTTGCCAGTTTGTTCTTCTGACTGTGGTCTATTTCACTTTACCACATATTTTTTCGACTTTGATATAATCTTTTTCGTACTTTATCCCTTTATATCGGTGTAGGAGATTACAGACACCCGGGGTGGTGAGACCGATGCCTTTTCCGATCCACCTTCTGGATTTGCTTAAGAGTTCGTTTGAATGGAGATTAATGATAGTTATCCAGTTATAAAGTTGCATAAAAGGAATTTGTAAAAGAAAACAGATTGCAGAAATGCATTGTTGATTGTACAAAATACATTTTTATATATTGTAGAAATTATGAACATGGAGGCTGTTAGTTACAAGCAATTCTACTTTTTGATGCAGGACAAATTAAAGAATAGAAAGATGAAGCAAGAAGGGAGGGAGAAACCAGAGAAAATGGGAGGGAGAAACCAGAGAAGAAGCAAAAATTCAGGGGAAAATGGGGAGGGAGAGGAAGAAGACGCCACAACCAATTTCAATAATTCTTATTCATCCAAAACTAATAAAATTATATGAAAAATTAGGTTTAAATAGTAAAGACAAAATCCTACTTAGAATGGACTTGGGCCAATACAAGCCCAATTACATAAATAGAATCTAAAACATAAATAAAGTCCAACTAAAAATAAATAAAAAATAATGTCCTCATCAACTCTCCCGGGGTGGGAGAAAAACTCGACCCTGTCGAGTGGATAGATCACTATAGGTTGCAGTCAATCTGATACTCCAAATGCTTCAAGTCAGGCCACGGGGGACGATCTTTGATAGTACTGAAAACTGTAGCTTATTCCCAAGAATATGATCTAGCCAAAGGGTGGTCTTTCCTTCTAACCAAGTACTGATACTGGACTCCAAATAACCAATACTCATACACCTCATCTTCAAGATTTTCACATGATTATATTTAGTGAGGAGCATAAGGAGCACGTCGATCTACCCAAGAAACAAGGAAGTACTGAATTTTGACATCATTGATCAATACAACATGTTCATCTAAAATAACATCAATTTTATCTTTGTGTGCCATGATGGGTGGTATTGAGGTAGAAATATCAACATAATCAAGTTAGGGGTCCACAAAGTTAAGTAGAAATGGATCATCAAAGGAAGTAAAACGGTGTTTGTAAGTAATGAAGTCCTCAATATTTAAAGTAGAGTGATAGCCAAAATGTGATGAAAGAGCAATGACATGTGCATTTGAACCAACATACTTTAAATTTTTCAAAGGACCAGCACTACAAGCTTGCAATATAACATAATCTCCAATATTAAATTCAAAATATCGTTTATGTAAATCAGCTTGAAATTTATATAATGCATTACTTGCGTCATGTTGTTTATTGATCTCAATATGCAAGTCATGGAGATAATGTACAAATGCTCCAACTAACATCAACGCACTAGCATGTGGGGACAAGGAAATAAGGTCTAACGGTCTCCTAGACTTATAATCAGGAACAACTTAAAAATGACTTAGACCTATAGAGCAATTCATAGAATTGTTATATGTAATTTGAACAGTTGGGAAGATCAAATTCCAAGCAGGATTACGCAAATCATCAGTACCTTTGGGTTGGATAAAGTTACGACATACAAAACTTGACTGAGAGGTATAGAGAATAAGAGGTACAACACCTAGAGTTATAGGAAAAGTCCGGATACTACTTAGTGAGGTGTCCTCATTATCATCCAAGTCATCAAAATCTTTAAGTTTAGGTTCATAAACTAGATTTTTTAACGGCTCATCTATTACATTCTTTCATTCTTCCATTGTTAAAGCTCGGTTAGAACATTAAGAATGGATGTGGCCAAAGTCCTTACAGTTGACGCACAGCAAGTGAGAAGAAGTCCTTGAAATTTTAGAAATTTTACCCCTATTTTTTGATAGAGAATGAACATTAAATGGGGGAGGTCCGAGAAGGGACTTGATAGGAGGAGGTGGCGTCGATAAGACAAAAGGACGATTGTCACTACGCCTTCGATACGACGAAGAAGGTCTTAGGATATCATGATCTTTACATTTAGTTTCCCAAATGGAAGGAACATTAGATTGGGAAGGCTCACTGATAGACTTATGACGAGATGATAAGATGGGTGAACGATGGTGATCACACTTTCCATATGGAATACTAATAAGTAACTCGTAGTCTCGAGCTAACGAGTAAACGTGATCAAGAGTAATGACGCCTCGAAAAAAAAGCTCACGCCTAAATTTATCTCTTAAACCTTGTATAAATTTACTTAAAATCAAGGACTCATACTCAATGACATGACGCTTCATTCGAAACTCCTCAAATTGAGCAATATACTCAGTCACTAACCGATTCCCTTGTTTAAGGGCATTCCATTGAGTATAAGCTTCAAAATCTAAGCAACCATCAAAAGTAGGAGTGTCTAATTTAGCATCTCTAAAGGAACTCTCCTTATGACGAGAAAGAGAATGAGTACCATGACGACTATGGCCTCGTTCTCACTCGCTCACCTGATCCTTATCCTTACGATCGTATTGAAAATATTTTTGATTACCTTGTTGACGACGATATTGTCTATTTGTGGGACAATTTAGAATTACTAACATCAATCGAATGAGGGATTTGCTTAAAATTGTTCAGACTAGCAACTAGATCTCTGCACTTTACACGAGTAGCAGCCATCTCGGTTTGGAAAGCTGCTAATTGAGTTTGTAAGTGTTGCTAGCCAGTGACAAGTTAAGCTAATTGTCTAGTGAGTGCATCAAATTGGAGAGGGTCTATGTTTAGGTCTGAAGCTAGAATTGACAAGATGACCAGTCAACCACTATAAATGCACTATATCAGCAGCTAAATGACGTACAATAAAGAGATTAATGACAATAAGTGCGAGCAATGGAAATTAACAACTTGAGCCCCCCTTTTAAAATAAATAAATAAATAAATTTGGAGGATTAAGCAAATCCAAATATTGCAAACTAATATTGTTGATACGTGTAAAATAGCAAAGCAAGGGTTAAATACTAGTCAAAAGACCTAATCACTTGAAATAGATTATGGGGTTAAAAGCAGGTCTACAAATGATGAATCAAAACCTCACGTAGGGTAAGTGGGGAACCAATGGGAGTTAAGTCATTCAATGATTTTGATAAAGTGTGGTTAAGGCTAATATATTGTCAAGGTAATAACAGCACAAGACTTTAATTGATACAATTTTAAAAATGAAGTAGTAGTATAAACCAATAGTAAATATAGATCAAGGACTCCCTGGTGTTTAGTTGCTTGAATTTTTGAATTATGGACCCCAGTTATGCTTGTGTCCTATCCTTCTTTGTAGATGTCTTCCATTCCAGAAGTCACTCCCTGTTGATTGTGATTTATACTAGTTATTGCTCTGGCTCTGTTGTGCGTTGGAGTTATAAGTAGTGGGCAAGTGAAATTGATCCCTGTTGTTGGTCGTTTATGTGTTAAATGGGATGTGATAATGTGTTAAGTGGGCTGGTTTATTTTAATTCAAGTAATGGGTTGGGTTCTTTTTGAAATGCTGGAATTAGGTTAGAAGTAAGTGGTTGGATGATTATGATGGGAAGTGGGCTGTGTATGGAAGGGGTAATGGGTTGAGTTAACTGGGTTTTGGGGGCTATTAGGCTGCCTGGGTTTGGCTAGAGATAAAAGGAATATTTGTGGGTAGGCATGGGCGCGGGTCGGTCCGGCTCGGTTTTAAAGAGAACCAAACCAAGCCAAAAATTTTCGGGTATTTAGTAAATGGAACCGTTGGGTCCAAATATTATGGAACCGTTCGGGTTCAATTCCGTACTATAATTAAAAATTTTAACATTTATAACAATACTATATAAATACAACTAATGATACATTCAATTATAATTTTACAAACTAACATGATCCAATTTAATAACATATAAATAACAAGTTGTCCAACAAGATTAATTCACTAACGCATACAAATATCAAAAAGTAGATACAAATAATTGGGGCCAAAAAAATTTAAACAAAAAATTGGATTTAATTATTTAATTAATTAATTTGCTAATTTATTTAGAAAAAAATAAAATAATTTGATTTATCTAATATAAAAAAATTAATTTTTTTTTTTACAGATTCGATTCTTCGTCTAGAACCAAGAATCGAACCAAACCCATCGGTTCTCAGTTTAGATACTTATTCGGGTATTTAACTTAAGAAAAATCGCACGATTCGGTCCGGTTCGGTTCAGACATTTTGCCCAACCCTATTTGTGCGTACATTTGGGTTAAGTTGTTAGGATTGAAAATTTGTGAAACAGCACTTAACAACCGCAAACGTCTAAAATACTAAAATTGATTTTTTTTTGTAGAAAATGATAAAAAATACTAAAACTGAATTTTTTTTCTTTTTTTTTCTCAGGGTGAACAGTACCCGTGAACAGTAACTCTTTTTTTTAACTGAAAATACTAAAATTAAAATTTTCGAGCGTGAATAGTACCCGTGAACAGTAACACAATTTTTTTTAACAAAGATAGAGAACTAAAAAAAATGAAAAAACGCTACTTTTACGATAAATCTTTTTTAATTGTGTTGTTTCAACAAATTTTGGATTGTATGAGAGAAAATACCCAAGATTCGACTCTGATATCAAATTTGATGCAAGACAAATTAAAGAATAGAAAGAGGAAGCAAGAATGGAGGGAGAAACCAGAGATAATGGAG